TTAAGCCCAGCTACTCAGAAGGCTGAGGCAGGAGAATTGCTTGAACCTGGTAGGCAGAGGCTGCAGTGAGCCTAGATTACACCACTGCACTCCAGCCTGGGTGACAGAGTGAGACTGTATCTCTGAAAAAAAAAAAAAAAAATATCTCTCTCTCTCTCTCTCTCTCTGTATATATATATATATATATATATAATCTCCTACCTCTGATTTTATATATAATAAAAAATATACATTAAAATATATTTTATGCCTATGTATATAATACATATAAAATGAAAGAGATAAAGCTGACCCCTAGTGCTCCAGCCAGCCTGGTTCTAGCCCCTGGCAGTCCTGAAGAGAAACCCTCTGTCTGATAATGCCAGAACAAGTCCCAGGAAAGACTCCCATTGGCTCAGCTTGGGACACATGCCCATCTCTTAATGAATCACTTAGTGGGGAATGAAAGCCTCTTATTGGCCAGGTCTGAGTGACTTGCCCACCTCCAGAGCTAGGGTTTGGAGTTAGAACCCTCAGATCCAGAGGGACTAAGAGTCAAGAGTCAGCAAGGAGTGTTTCCCCACAGGAAATTGGGGAGCTGTTGCCAGGTGAAGGGACATAGATGTGAATGGGGGCAGGGACAGGAAGCCACCACGGCTAGCCAGCCCTGGGGAGGGAAGGGGGTGCTATCGACACCCAGGAGCCAAACGTATGCTCCGCTATCCTGGTGAGAAGTGGGGCCTGCTCTGTGTGTCTAGGGGCCCCAGCTGGCACACATGCCATTGGGGCCTGGCTTGAAAAGTGCTAGGGCGTTTCCAGGCAACTTTACCTCTTCAGCAACACCCCTTATCTAAGTCCCACCATGAGGCGCCCCGCCAGCTTCAGTCCTTGGCTTTACGGGATTCAGAATCACATGCAGTTGAGCTGAGATCACACCACTGTGCTCCTACACTCCAGACTGGGTGATGGAGTGAGACTCTGTCTCAAAAAAAAAAAAAAAAAAAAAAAAGAGGCCGGATGCAGTGGTTCACTCCTGTAATCCCAGCACTTTGGGAGGCAGAGGCAGGCGGATCACAAGGTCAAGAGATCAAGACCGTCTTGGCCAACATGGTGAAACCCCGTTTCTACTCAAAATATAAAAATTAGCTGGGCATGGTGGCACATGCCTGTAGTCCCAGCTACTTGGAGGATAAGGCAGGAGAATTGCTTGAACCTGGGAGGCAGAGGTTGCAGTGAACCAAGATCGCACCACTGCACTCCAGCCTGGCGACACAGCAAGACTCCGTCTCCAAAAAAAAAAAAGAATCATGTGCAGTCAATCATGATTATTCCAGATTCTGTGTTTGTGAATTCACCTACTTGCTGATCTCTATTTGTAAACCTAAAGTCAACATTCATGGCACTTTCAAGATCACTCACAGGCGTGAAGAGCAGCAAAAAATCTAAGTCACCTCCCAGCTGAGGTTGAACAAGGCAACATTCTGTCTTCTTGTTTTACCTCTCATGTGGTAAAGTGTCCTTTTTGTGGTCTGTACAGTGCCACTGTTTTTTGTCTGTTCGTTTGTTTGTTTACTACCTCTGTTGCCCAGGCTGGGGTACAGTGGTGCAATCTCGGCTACTGAAACCACTGCCTTTTGGGTTCAAATGATTCTCCTGCCTCAGCCTTCCAAGTAGCTGGGATTACATGTGTGCATTACCACCCTCGTCTAATTTTTGTATATATATATTTTTTTTTTGAGACGGAGTTTCGCTCTTGTTACCCAGGCTGGAGTGCAATGGCGCGTTCTCGGCTCACCGCAACCTCCGCCTCCTGGGTTCAGGCAATTCTCCTGCCTCAGCCTCCTGAGTACCTGGGATTACAGGCACGCGCCACCATGCCCAGCTGATTTTTTGTAGTTTTAGTAGAGACGGGGTTTCCCCATGTTGACCAGGATGGTCTCGATCTCTTGACCTCGTGATCCACCCGCCTCGGCCTCCCAAAGTGCTGGGATTACAGGCGTGAGCCACCGCACCCGGCCAATTTTTGTATTTTTTGTAGAGATGGGGTTTTGCCATGTTGGTCAGCCTCCCAAAGTGCTGGGATTACAGACATGAGCCACCACGTCCCACCTTTGTTTTGCCTTTTGTTAGTGATTTCGCTGTGTAAAATGGCTCCTTTGGCTGTGTGCGGTGGCTCACGCCTTTAATTCCAGCTCTGGGGAGGCTGAGGCAGGAGCATCGCTTCAGCTCCGAGTTTGAGATCAGCCTGAGCAACATAGTGAGACCCCATCTCTACCAAAAAAAAAAAAAAAAAAAAATTAACCAGGTGTGCTGGCACACGCTTAGAGTCACAGCTACTTGGGAGCTGAAGTGGGAGGATCGCTTGAGCCCAGGAGTTTGAAGCTGCTATGAGCTATGATTGCACCACTGCACTCCAGCCTGGGTGACAGAGTAAGACTTTGTCTCCAAAAATAAATAAATAAATAAATAAATAAATAAATAAATAAATAAATAAATAAAATGGTCCCCAACCACAGCGCTGAAGGGCTTTTTACTATTCCTAAGAGCAAGAACACTATGATGGGGAAAATACATGCATTCATTCAGGCATGAGTTATAGTGCTGTTGGCTGTGAGTTCAATGTTAACGAATCAACAGTATACAGGCAATCAGTTGTCTTTAAACAGAAACACACATACAACAAAGTTATGTACTGATCAGTTAAGGTGCATGTTGTGAGCAGAGGCTCACAGGAACCTGGCCCTGTATTTCCCCTGGGAGCAATGGTTCAGTATTCACTAATTCCACGCCTGCGTCAACTTTATAGAACAGAGGTCCCCTGTTTTTTTTTGGGGGGGGGACCAGGGGCCAAATTCATGGAAGACAACTTTTCCACAAATGGAGCTGTGGGGGATGATTTCAGGATGATCAAAGCATGCCCTTTATTTTTATTATTATTACACTGTACTGAAAAGTGAAATAATTACACGACTCACCATTCTGTAGAGTGAGTGGGAACCCTGAGCTTGTTTCCCTGCAACTACACAGTCCCATCTGGGTTTGACGGGAGACAGTGACAGATCATCAGGCTTTGGATTCTCATAAAGAGCGTGCAACCCAGATCCCTTGCATGCACAGTGCACAATAGGGTTGCGCTCGTATGAGAATTGTATGCAGCTGCTGATCTGACAGGAGGTGGAGCTCAGGTGGTAATACGAGTGATGGGGAGCAGCTGTAAATACAGATGAAGCTTTGGCTTGCTTGCCTGCCGCTCACTGCCTGCTGTGTGGTCCGGTTCCCAACAGGTCACAGATTGGTACCAGTCTGTGACCCAGGGTTTGGGACCCCTGCCATAGAACATAACTACTGTGAATGATGAGAATCAGCTGTAATTGGCTTGGGGTTGTGGAGCTGCCCCAGGAAGGGTTTCAGTGTAGTCAGAGTGAGCTGAGGTGGTGCCTTGCCAAGGCATCCTCAGTCGGCTTTGGGCTGACTTAGCTTGGAAAGATGACCCCCATCTCCACCCTTTCATTTTGTGTTACAGGCTCTTTTCTCATTTCTGGAGGGTTTGATAGGACTGTGGCTATTTGGGACGTAGCAGAAGGCTACCGGAAGCTCTCCTTGAAGGTACACGTGGCCAGCATGAGATGGAGGATCTGAGTTTCCCTCCTGAGTCCTTCCCATGCTCAGTGCTGGGTGCTGGGGACACAGCTGTGGGTGACACAGACCTAGATGCCTCCCGTGGGCTGATGAAGGATAGATTAGAAGCCAGCAGACACACCACTGGCTTTGAGGAGTGAAATGGAGAAACCACAACAGGGTGACATGATGGGTACAGACGTGGGGGACCCATCCACATTGTATGGGCAGGGAGAGCTTCCTGGAGAAGGAAGTGTTTGAGCTGAGAAATGGGTGGAAGGAAAGGACTGCATAGGTGGGGATCTTGAAGAAGAAGAGGATTCCAGGCAGATGGAACAGCCAATGCAAAAACCCCAAGTTGGGAGTGTCCAAGAACAGCAGAAGTTACTGTGCAGGGCCAGGTGCGGTGGCTCACGCCTGTAATCCCAGTACTTTGGGAGGCTGAGGTGGGTGGATCACCTGAGGTCAGGAGTTTGAGACCAGCCTGGCCAACATGGTGAAACCGCATCTCTACTAAAAATCAGCTGGGCATGGTGGTGCGCACCTGTAGTCTCAGCTACTTGGGAGGCTGAGGTGGGAAGATTGCTTGAACCTGGGAGGCAGAGGTTGCAATGCGCTGAGATCGTGCCACTGCACTCCAGCCTAGGCGACAGAGTGAGACTCCACCTCTAACAAAACAAGTCAAAACAAAACAAAAAACCAGAAATTACTGTGCAGAGGGATGGCATGAAAGGCGTAATGAGGCATGAAAGCTTGGGGTTCCAAAATGGGGGTGTCAATTGAATGTTCTTGGCTGCAAGTGAGAGGAGCCCCAACTCAGAGTGGCTCTGTGACAAGGGGATGTGTTATCCAACATGGCAAGAACCCAGGATTGCCTCATGCTGTGACCCTATTCCCAAGGGGCCCTGCACCCCAGGATTTCTGCATACTCCCTGGTTTCACGGTCTCACTGTCACCTTTGGCTGTGAATGCCTGGTCTTTCTGTGCCCACGGACGCAAAGGGACGTGTGTCCTTGAGCAGCCCATGTTCAGGTCCCTGGGGCTGGTCTGTCTGAGCTGTCTTCTCCTAGGACTTGGGGAGGCAAAATGTGTTTGCTCACAGCAAATAAACAGCTTGAAATGGAATGTTAAACCTCTCTGTGTTTAAAGTCCCTCTGTCGTCCGGGTGCAGTGGCTCATGCCTAGAATCCCACAGCACTTTGGGAGGCTGAGGCTGGAGGATCACTGGAGGTCAGGAGTTCGAGACCAGCCTGGCCAACATAGTGAAACCCCGTCTCTACTAAAAATACAAAAATTAGCCAGGCATGGTGACAGGTGCCTGTAATCCCAGCTACTCGGGAGGCTGAGGCAGGATAATTGCTTGAACCTGGGAGGTGGAGGTTGTGGTGAGCCAAGATCGTGCCATTGCACTCCAGCCTGGGCAACAAGAGGGAAACTCCATCTTAAAAAAAAAAAAAAAAAAAAAAAAAAAATCACTAGAGGAGCCTGGGAGGTAGAGGTTGCAGTGAGCTGAGATTGTGCCACTGCACTCCAGCCTGGGTAACGGAGCTGGTTGTTCTATTTTGTCTCCTCTTGTCTCCTCTCTCTCTGTTCTCCCATCCTCAAATTCCTATCCTTTTATTATACTAAGCAGTTTAATCTTTTCCTCTGACCACACCATGGTCTCACCTTCCACCTCTTTCCACATGGGGAAGGCCAAAGAAGGACAGAGATGCTGGCGTAGAGCCAGACATCATTCAGTGTCTGAGGCAGCAATGGCATCTATCTGCTCTGAGTTCCTTTTTACCCAAAGAAAACATCCCACTCCTAACTCTGCTTAAGCCACAGTGGATCAAGTCTGCAGTCATTGGAAGCCAAAAGCCCCTTCATTTACAGTGCCTCCGGAGGGGTATTTCCTAGAACAATGAATGTAAATGAAAATCTGAGACCAGCTGGGAATATAGTATTTCTCCCCTCATCCTGCTAAATACCCGAGTACTATTTTTTAAAAACATACACAGTGGCACACACATTTGTAGTCCCAGCTACTCGGGAGGTTGAGGCAGCAGAATCACTTGAGCCCAGGAGGTTGAGGCTGCAGTGAGCTATGACTGAGCTGCTACACTCCAGCCTGGGGAACAGGGTGAGGCCCTGTCTCAAAATAAAAATAACTAAATACATAAACAAAGAATGGGCTGGGTGCGGTGGCTCATGCCTGTAATCCCAGCACTTTGGGAGGTTGAGGCAGGCGGATCACTTGAGGTCAGGAGTTCGAGACCAGCCTGGCTAACATGGTGAAACCTTGTCTCTACTAAAAATACAAAAATACAAAAAATGGGCACGGTGGCGGGCACCTATAATCCCAGCTACTTGAGAGGCTGAGGGTGGAGAATCACTTGAACCTAGGAGGTGGAGGCTGCAGTGAGCGGAGATTCTACCATTGTACTCCAGCCTGGGCAATAAGAGCAAAACTCTGTCTCAAAAAACAAACAAACAAACAAACAGAAACAACAACAGACCTCAGTGCCCACCCTCCTTCCAGCCCTGTCCCCACCTCCACCTGCCTGTCCCCTATCCCAATCCAGTCCCACCCCACCCATTAAAAAAAAAAAAAAAACAAAACGTGCAGATATCACGTCTTTACACTTTGTATTCTACCCTAAATGTTGTTGACGAAACCAAGGAAGTACAATGAGCTGTTCTGCTCTTTCCTTTTTTCTTTTTTTAGACAGAGTCTCACTGTACCCAGGCTGGAGTGCAGTGGCCTGATCTCAGCTCACTGCAACCTCTGCCTCCCGGGTTCAAGTGATTCTCCTGCCTCGGCCTCCAGAGTAGCTGGGACTACAGGTGCGCACCACCACAACTGGCTAATTTTTGTATTTTTAGTAGAGACAGGGTTTTACTATGTTGGCCATGCTGGTCTTGAACTTCAGACCTCGTGATCCACTCGCCTTGGCATCCCAAAGCGCTGGGATTACAGGTGTCAGCCACCACACCCGCACCACCCCCTTTTTTTTTTTTTTTTTTTGAGACGGAGTTTCGCTCTTGTTACCCAGGCTGGAGTGCAATGGCGCGATCGGCTCACCCCAACCTCCGCCTCCCGGGTTCAGGCAATTCTCCTGCCTCAGCCTCCTGAGTAGCTGGGATTACAGGCACGCGCCACCATGCCCAGCTAATTTTTTGTAATTTTAGTAGAGGCGGGGTTTCACCATGTTGACCAGGATGGTCTTGATCTCTTGACCTCGTGATCCACCCGCCTTGGCCTCCCAAAGTGCTGGGATTACAGGCGTGAGTCATCACGCCCGGCCTCCATTTTTTTTTTTTTTTGAGATGGTCTCACTCTGTCGCCCAGGCTGGAGTGCAGTAGCATGATTATGACTCACTGCAGCCTCAACCTCCCCGGGCTCAGGTGATTCTCCCACATTAGCCTCCTGCGTAGTTGGGATTACAGGTGCATGACACCATGCCCAGCTAATATTTTGTATTTTTAGTAGAGACGGGGTTTCACTGTGTTGCCCAGGCTGTTCTCAAACTCCTAGACTCAAGGAATCCGTCCACCTCAACCCTGCAGAGTGTTGAGGTTACAGCGTGAGCCACTGTGCTCAGCCAGCTACTCTTAAATGTAAACAATGCTGGACTCTTGACTTGTTGTTGTTTTCTAAGATAGGGGACCTCACTCTGTTGCCCAGGCTGGAGTGCAGTGGCATGATCATGGCTCCCTGCAACTTCCACCTCCTGGGCTCAAGTGACCCTCCCACCTCAGCATCCCAAAGGGCAGGTTACGTGTGAGCCACCACACGCAGATTGTTTCTGTTGTCCTTTCAAAATGATTTTTCTCTATGTTCTCATAAAAATTTGTTATTTCTTCAGGGCCATAATGACTGGGTGACAGATGTTGCCGTCAGCAACAACAAGAAATGGATCCTGTCTGCTTCCAAGGTAAAAGTGGCCAAGCTGTGAGTGACTTACCATATCTATCATATTCATCAGAATTGGTGATAGCGGGAGAGTTACTGGCAAGTGTAAACGTCCTGGGTGGGTTGGGTGAGGTGTCTGTACCTGGCTGGGCCATCGCGTTCACGGAGCTGCCTGGGAATGTACATCAAAGGATACCATCAAGAGAGTAAAAAGACAACTTCGAGAATGGGAGAAAATAGTTGCACAGCAAATATCGGGTAAGAGATTAATACGTAAAATACATAAAGAACTTCGAAAACTTAACAACAAAAAACAACCCAATTCAAGAATGGGCAAAAGACTCGGACATTTCTCCGAAGAAGATATACCAATGTCCAAGAAGCATATGACAAGACGCTCAACGTCATTGTCATTAGGGAAACGCAAACAAAAAGCACAGTGAGATACCACTTCACATTTACTAGGAGGGCTATAATAAAAAACAACTCAGAAGATAATGAATGTTGGCAAAGGACATGGAGCAATTGGATCCCTTGTGCGTGACCGATGAGAAGGTAAAACAGTGCAGCTGCTGTGGGAAATGGTTTGGCAGTTTCACAAAAGCAACGGAGCTACCATATGATCTGGCAACTCCACTTTGGGTTTATATTCAAAAGAGCTGAAGGCAGGGGCTTACTGATACTTATATGCCAGTGTTCATAGTAGCATTATTTATGACAGCTAAAAGGTGGAAGCGACCCACGTGTTGGATGAATGGATACATAAAGTGTGGTCTATCCATACAAGGAAATTCAGCCATAAAAAGGGGGAAATTCTGACATGCTACATCATGGACGAATCTTGATGACATGCTAAGTGAAATAAGGCAGTCACAAAAGGACAAAGACCATAGTAATTCCACTTAGATGAGGTATCCAGCATAGCCAAATTAGGAGAATGTAGAATGGTGGTTGCCAGAGGTTGGAGGGTGGGGAGAAAGTTATTATTTAATTGGTAATGGAGTTTTTGTTGGGGATGGTGAAAAAGTTTCGGGTATAGACAGTGGTTATGCGGACAGAAGATTGTGAAGGTATTGAAGGTGACTTACTTGTACACTTACAAATAGTTAAAATGGGCCGGGCGTGGTAGCTCATGCCTGTAATCCCAGCACTTTGGGAGGTTGAGGTGGGCGGATCACAAGGTCAGGAGTTTCAGACTAGCCTGGACAAGATGGTGAAACCCCATCTCTATTAAAAATACAAAAATTAGCTGGGTGTGGTGGTGTGCCTGTAGTCCCAGATACTCGGGAGGCTGAGGCTGGGGAATCGCTCGAACCCAGGAGGCGGAGGTTGCAGGGAGCCGACACCGTGCCATTTCGTTCCGGCCCAGGCAACAGAGTGAGACTCCATCTCAAAAAAAAAAAAAAAAAGCCAGTTAAAATGGTATTGTATTGTATATATTTTACCTCAATAAAAAAACCCAACAATGACATGTTTCTTCTGTCCCTTAATACAGTGGGATATTTTTGCTTTTCTGTTTCCATGGCAAATAATACTTCTCTGAACTGCCTGCAGCCCCTAGGACATCCTTTTAGTTTCTGTAGTGGTAAAACCGAACACTGTCAAATGTAAAATTCGTTCCAACTTACATTCTGTTCTTATCAAGCCCACATTATACTGATTCCTGGTGTCAACCCAATGTGATAACTTCAAGCTAAATATCCCATCAGGAAAAGCATTTGAGCATGGATACTTAAGATTTTACTTACTGGCTGGGTGTGGTGGCTCACACTTGTAATCCCAGCACTTTGGGAGCCCGAGGCAGGCCGACTGCTTGAGGTCAGGAGTTCGAGACCAGTCTGGCCAACATGGTGAAACCCCATCTCTACTAAAAATACACAAATTAGCCAGGCTTGGTGGCACATGACTGTAGTCCCAGCTACTTGGGAGGCTGAGGCAGGAGAATCGCTTGACTTGGGAGGTGGAAGTTGCAGTGAGCTGAGATCAAGCCATGGCATTCCAGCCTGGGCAAGAGTGAGACTCCATCTTAAAAAAAAAAAAAAAAAGCAAACAGATTTTGCTTACTGGCAAAAACAGGTTCTTTGATTTGCAGGTTTTATTTCCCAGTATTCCAAAAATGTCCAAATGTACTAAATCTTCAAGCTTATTTTAAAAGACTAGGTATTTGTCAGGCTGGGCATGGTGGCTCAAGCCTGTAATCCCAGCACTTTGGGAGGCCGAGGTGGGCGGATCACCTGAGCTCAGGAGTTCAAGACCGGCCTGACCAACATGGAGAAACCCCATCTTTACTAAAAATACAAAATTATCTGGGTGTGGTGGCACATGCCTGTAATCCCAGCTACTCAGGAGGTTGAGACAGGAGAATCGCTTGAACCCAGGAGGCAGAGGTTACAGTGAGCCAAGATCATGCCATTGCACTCCAGCCTGGGCAACAAGGATGAAACTCCATCTCAAAAAAAAAAAAAAAAGTAAAAGACTAGGTATTTGTTAATGAAGTCACAATCTCGGCTCACTGCAATCTCCGCCTTCCAGGTTCAAACAATTCTCCTGCCTCAGCCTCCCGAGTAGCTGGGATTACAGGCACACGCCACCACACCTGGCTAATTTTTGCATTTTTAGTAGAGACAGGGTTTTGCCATGATGGCCAGGCTGGTCTCAAACTCCTGACCTCAGGTGATCGGCCTGCTTTGACCTCTCAAATTGATGGGATTATAGGTACGAGCCACCATGCCTAGCCTCAATTTTTTTTTTTATTCTATAGGTAAGAGGGCTCACTATATTGCCCAGGCTGGTCTTGAATTCCTGGGCTCAAGCCATCCTCCTGCACATGCCTCTCAAAATGCTGGATTACAGGTGTGAGCCACCATGCCCAGCTTGAAACTAACTTTTGAATGACAATATCTAAGAGCTGGGAAGACATCTTTTGTTACCATGATTTGGCCAGCCACTTGCTATACTGTAGGAAGTATGCTTATTGGCAAGATCTGACAGCTCTACACAGCTGTGAAGCCAACACATCTGTTACCAATGTGTGCCCTTTGTTCTCCCACAGGACATTTAATTGCAACTGCTGAATCAAGAAATGTAACATCCTCGGTGTATCCATTTTTTAAATTTCTGCTATATTAAGTTACAGGACTATACTGTTTAAACATTAAACAACACAAATTTACTATCTTACAGTTCTGTAAGACAGAAGTCTGACAAGTTCTCATTGGGTTAAAATCTGGGTGTCAACAAGAATGCATTCCTTTCGGGAAGTATTATTAACTAAAGTTAACTAAAGTCCATGGTTCATATCGTTTCACGCTTTGTGTTATATAGGTCTATGGGTTTTGCCAAATGTGTATCATATATCTACCAATAGAGTGTCATACAGAAGAGTTCTTTTTTGTTTTTTGTTTTTAGATAGTGTCTCGCTTTGTTTTCTAGGCTGGAGTGCAGTGGCACGATCTTAGCTCACTGCAACCTTCGCCTCCTGGGTTCAAGCCATTCTCCTGCCTCAGCCTCCCAACTAGTTGGGACTACAGGCGCATGCTACCACACTTGGCTAATTTTTGTATTTTTAGTAGAGATGGGGTTTCACCATATTGGTGAGGCTCGTCTCGAATTCCTGACCTCACCTTCTTCTGCTTCTCAAAGTGCTGGGATTATAGTCATGAGCCACCGTGCCCAGCCATATAGAATAATTTTACTGTTCATCCCTCCTCTTCCCCAACATCCTGGGCAACCACTGATCTATTTACTTTCTTTACTTTTGCCTTTTCCAGAATGTCAAGTGCTTGGAATTATACTCTATGGCCTCTTCAGGCTGGCTTCTTTGGCTTAACAAGTTTCCTCTTTCTCTTGCCTTGACAGCCCAAGTCTTTTGACTGTTGAATGATATTCCTTTGCATGGATGTACCACAGCCTGTTTTATGACTACTGGTTTCCTATTTGTTTTAGGATAGGACCATGAGACTGTGGAATATTGAAGAAGTTGACCAAATTCCTTTGGTAATCAAGTATAAAAAGGCCATGGGCTTAAAGTTGAAACAGGTTGGTATTGGGTAAAATGAAGCCCAGTGAAAGCTTTCATTAATTCCCTCTATAATTTGTCATTTGAACAAACTTTGGGCACCTAGGGATGCAACCGTGAACAGACCGACGTTTTTGCCCCAGCAGAGCTTAAATTCTAAAAGAGGAAACAAAGAGGAAAGACACAAGAAAAATGTGTAGTAAGTTGCATGGTGTTAAGTAATTGACAGAAAAATACACAGGAAAAGGGAACAGGAGTGCTGGAGGTTGCAAGATTTTAAAAGGTAGTCAGGATAGGCCTCACTGAGGTGGCCGCTATTTCAATTTGAAGGTGGTGAGGGGGTGAGCAGTGCAGATATTTAGAGGAGAGAACTTCCAGCTGGGTGCGGTGGCTCTCGCCTGTAATCCCAGCACTTGGAGGCCGAGGCGGGCAGATCACCTGAGGAGGGAGTTCGAGACCAGCCCGGCCAACATGGAGAAACCTCATCTCTACTAAAGATACAAAATTAGCCAGGCACGGTGGCGCATGCCTGTAATCCTAGCTACTTGGGAGGCTGAGGCAGGAGAGTCACTTGAACCCGGGAGGTAGAGGTTGTGGTGAGCCAAGATTTCGCCGTTGCACGCCAGCCTGGGCAACAAGAGCAAAACTAAGTCTCAAAAAGAAAAAAAAAAAAAAGAGATTCCAGAGGAGGGAGCCCTTGCCTTGCCTTGCTCAACGTAGCTGGATCAGGTGGGAGAATTCTAATCATGTGCCTGGAACCCCTCTGACGAGCACCTCCTTTCTGCTTTTAAAATATCCCATGTCAGTGTGAAAGATGTGACAGGCCTTTCTCCATCTTTGAGAGTGACACCTCTTCTGAAATATTCACCCAATGCGTGTTCTGCCGGATAGATACAAGGGGCTTGCCAGTGGAGACTTCATCATTATCCTCATTGGAAAGCGAGAACTCACCGTTGCCGAGGGGAAGCAAGGATGACTGACAGCCACAGGACCCTTTGAGTGACTTGAGCACAAGCTACCTAGCATGTAGGTTTCAGGGCTCTGCAGGGACTTTCTCTTAGGCCCCTCCCAGGCTCAGTGGTCCTGTCAGACTGGGGCAGGACGCAAGCCTTGGCTGGGCTCTCAGCACAGTGCCACCTCCTCAGCTCTCAGCTGGGGAAGTGAACATTTATTTTCTGTTTTCACACAAAATAAATCTAATTCCTTTGGAAAACAAGTGTGCATGTGCATGTGAAAAGCAGTCTTGCTATTTCTAAGCTTTATGTCTTGGTGCTCATCCTGTTTGATTTTTGGAACACATATTTGACTCACATTATGGAGTCTGGAGTTGTCCTGTAAGGTGACCCGTGGGGGCTGGCACCAGTAGTTCTGGAGAAAGGGTTTGTCAAATAAATATGACAAGGCACGGGGACCCCTCTGTGGATGTGACAGCAAGATACTGTGGGTGCCTCCCTGGCTAGTGCTCCCAGAGAGCCACCTGCCTGGGGCAGAGGATGATTTGGTTAGCCAAGGGGGTGGCAGTGGCACTGCCATCACAGGCTATCTCATGCTCTCTCTTCTAGACTTCTCAATTTCCAGAATTTCCAGGCCTATGCACAGCCCTCTTCCTGCTGCCATGGCATATTGTACAGCGTGCATCAGTCCAGAAAGAGTCAAGTTTTCCGTTAATAAGATGGGCTCTCTTTTCCACTTGGTATGGTTCACATGATTCTCATCAAATATCATTAATAGGCCCCTTGGTCCATTTAAAAAGCTTAACTGAGCCTGGGCGCAGAGGCTCCTGTCTGTAATTTCAGCAGTTTGGAAGACAGGCAAATGAATAGCTTGAGGCCAGAAGTTTGAGACTAACTTGGGAAACACAGCAAGACCTCTCCACAAAAAACAAAAATACTAGCCAGGTGTGTGGTGCACCTGTAGTCCCAGCTGTTTGGGAGGCCAAGGCAGGAGGATCGCTTGAGCTCCAAGAGTTCGAGGCAGCCAGTGAGCTATATGATTGTGCCACTGCACTCCAGCATGGGTAGCAGAGAAAAAAACCCAGCAAGACTGATTTATATATTATCACATAATGTCTAGTGTCAATTGTCTGGCATCCAACAATTCTGTGCATAAGCACCATGGCCTGGCAACTGTCATGTGGGTGGGTCCCATGTCCGATGCCATCCTTGTCAGTCACAATGGGGTGACTGGTCAGATTCAAGTTGT